CCCCAAAACCCCAAAACCCCAAAACCCCAAAACCCCAAAACCCCATTATTCTAAGTGAATATTGATGTTCTTAATATTTATGCTTTTTCTTTTTGAGAATAACCTCCTCTAGCTTCCTGATCCTTTCATATAATTGACTGTCTGAGCCTATCTGATAAGAAGGCCTGTCTTCTTCAGAATCTAGAATTAATAAATAGATTTACCTTCATGATAATCAGGCGGATTATAGTAACTAAGAGAATTATCTGACTCAAGAATTCTTTCTTTTATTTTCCGTTTATGAGCTTGCCATTTTTCATCATCATTTTTCTCAATTCTTTCATATTTATCAAGCACAGATTTGGAATGTTTATCTACACTTTTTGGCTTTTTCTTAACTATAAAACTACTCAGACACCAAAAATTACAACTAGCAGTATCACTGATGACCAAGCTCGAAGATTCTTCCTGATACACTTTCTTATACTTCTCTTCCTTATATCACTTAACCTTCTGCTCTAACCTCGAAATTTTCGACCTCAACAACGAATTTTCTCCCATTAAATCCTTCCTAACCTCCTTCAAATCCGCCACTTGTTCAAGTAACTCCTCTCTAAAATACTTGACACTCTTCGGGTTCTCCCTGATCCTAGGCGGTAAGGACTCCCTAGTACCTCTCTTCTCAGTCATATTCTGCTGTCACTATAAAAAGTCACTACTTTTGAAGTTACAAAGTCTAACATTTTATTAATCTTGGCTTCACATTTTTCCTTTGTTCTTAAGTGCAGCTTGTTCCAGTCAAGTTCTTTCTGCTGTAGGCTATTTTTGGAACTCATTTTCTTTTTCAAGCATGCTGATTTTGTGCTTCTCGGTGAGATCGGTGAGTTTGTTATTTGTATTGACTGGTGAGAACGGTTAATTTTTCTTCGAGTAAGGCACATCTTTGGCATCTGATGTGGTTGAGGATTTTATGGTCTTCTCTAGAGGATTAGGGGTGGTATACCTGTCTTTTTGGAGTCGAGAGGGGATTCCAATGTCTAGTTCGAGTTCTTGGGAGGTTTCTGTTTCAAAAATTGGTTTTTGGGTTATTCTAGTCTGAATTTTCTCGTAGAGGGAACTAGACCCATTTTCTTTATCTTTATAATCACTTTCAGAGTTCTGAGGAGCCTTAGCAATATTCATGTAAGCAAGTTTGCTGTCAACAATAGAGCCAGCGAAAGGTTTATAGCCAGAGATCTTGTAATCAGAGATAATTTTCTCTGCAAATTCTTTCCTGCTTTCATGTTTTGAAATTGATTTCATCGGGTATTTTGAAGGATGCTTATCTGAAGATGGCTTTTTAATAGACTTATACGATGGTTTCGGCTTGAAGCTATGGCTGGTGAGGGAACTAATTACTCAGTTGTGAAATTCTTCCTGGTATACACATTCTTTTTCACTGTAGAATATACAGAATTTGCATTCTTGTTATGATTTTGGTTCGGATTTTGGAAATTCTCCAGAGACTTGTTTAACTTTGTAGTTCAGTTCTTAGCAAAAGGGTTTGTTGTAGTAATAGACTGAGTGTCAAATTTGGAACGACTGAAGTCAGACATGGTACTCTGGAATTGCCGTGTGTTACTCCTATTCCGTTCTTCACTCCTAAATAATCAGTCATTGAGTCATTACAGATATTTTATTTTGATTCGCTCTTCTTTAGGTTTTTGATAAGATTTATGCAACTGGTTTGAATTTTCAGCATTTTGCGTTTTCCTTGAAGAAAGTTTTCCACTTTTAGAACTTGATGGAGTCTGCTTTAAACTGATAATTTTTCTTTCAGAATTTTCAGGTAAATTATTGATGTTAATATATTTCTGAGAAGGAATATAGGATGCTTCAGATAGTTTGGGTCCTAAAATTATTTCGTTAACAATACCTTTACCTTGTAAGTCAATTGTGCGGCATCCTCTGATTTGTCCGAATGCGTTCTCATTACTGGCACAGCTTCTATTCTGACCTACACTGGTAGGTTTCTGGGCTGACAAATCTGTACAAGAACTTGTGTCATCATAATATTTATCTGCAATATATTTATCTCTAAATTCTTGAAGCTGGAGCCTTGTCTTATAATGCTTATTACTGAGGGAGAAAGCTCTCTCTTCTTTATCAGATATATTTTTGTAGTTATTCTCATCCCTGATTTCATTAAGCACTGAAGCCTTCTGCTTCTGCTCTTTGTGTGGTTTAGATTCTCTTTCGTAGAAATGCTTTTTGAGATTTTCATTGAGGATAGTCTTTGATTCATGTTCTGTATCACGATTTGAATCTAGGATTAAGTGGCATAGAGAAGGATCTTCTCCAAGCTGAGTAAATTGCTTGTGAGAGTTATCATTTGTGATATTTTCATCATTTTTGTCACTAAAGATTATTGAGTTCCTTCTTTGCCTATGTTGCAAAGAATTTCCTTCACTTGGAGTCTCAAGATAATTATCTTGATTAGTCTCAAAACGACGCTGGCTTGGCATCTCAAGCCTTTCCTGTAAAGTAATATTCTCCTTCTGTAAATTTTGCGTACTCTCAAGACTACTCCGAACTTCAGGTATTAAGCTCTTGTCCATTTAAATTTAAATATAATTTTTAAATTCAAACTTATTAACGATAAAGGGGTTTTGGGGTTTTGGGGTTTTGGGG